AGCAGCCAATTGATGTTTCTCATATCAATGTTTCTCTCTCTCCCTCTCCTTTCCTGTCTCTCTCTCTTTTTTTGTTAATCCTCACCCTTTATGAGCGTAAGAGAGGGAAAGACAGAGAGAAACATCGATGTGAGAGAAACACATCGGTTTGTTGCCTCCTGTACGAACCCCAACCAGGGTCTGGGCTGGGGAGGAGCCTGCAACCAAGGTATGTGCCCTTGACTGGAATAGAACCTAGGACCCTTTGGTCCACAGGCCAGTGCTCTATCCACTGAGTCAAACCAGCTGGGGCTCCTTTCCTGTCTCTCTAAAATCAATAAAAAACATTAAAAAAAAAAAACAAGCAAAAGGGAACACCAGGTCTGGGGAAGGAAAGGCATTCCAGTGGTAGATATCAAGAAGGCCCCCTGGGGAAAGTGACTAAGCTGCTGACAGTGTACAGAACTGGTTGGTCACGGCGCAGGGAGGAAAGGTCTTCCGACAGGAATAGGAACGTTTGTAGCCAACGTTCACTGAGCGCCTCACTCTAAGTCCTTTCAGACGTTATTACTCATCGAATCGTCAGCACCACAGGAGGTTGGCACTGTGATCCCCCCATTTCACAGACGGGGAAAGTGGCGTTCAGTTACTGTAAGGCATATAGGTCCGATTCGATGGGAGGGACAGAGCAGCCAGAGGGAGACAGAAAGTGGGATTTGACTTTGCAGTGGGGAAGCTCCTTAAAGAATTGATGCTGCTGATGTCCTGGTTGGTGTTCTCAGTGGTCAGAGCATCAGCGCCCAGACTGAAGGGTCACGGGTTCAATTCCCGGGCAAGGACACATATCTAGGTGCCGGTTCGATCCCTGCATGTGATGTGTCTCTCTCATATCAATGTTTCTCTCTCTCCCCTGCCAACCTCCCTTCCACTCTCTCTCTAAAGATCAATGTGTCGGCCAACTGTGGGAACGCCGAGTCAGGAACTGTGGTCCAGCTTAGCTCAGCTGACACAGCACAGAGCCACCACTTAAGGTCACCACCCAGCCCCGGGGGCGGGGTGAGGAAGGAATGGCTGGGAGGGTGGGTCAGAGCCAGATTGGGATCTTGGGAAGCTTTCCTGGGACCATGGGCTGGTTTGAGAGACCGCGTGTGAGATGGAAGTGAAGGTGGGACCTGTCCCGGGCGATGTCCTGAAGGTGTTGGGATAGTCAGGCGGGGGCAGGACAGGAAGCTGGGCTAGATTCTGAATTGGGTGGCACTGGGTGTGTGTGAGGGAGGCCAGGGGCTGGGGCCGAGCCTTGGGTGATGCCTGCAGATGA